GCACTGGATCCGGGCCAGATTGTTGCTTGACCGCTGACCAGTACCCCACTTTATAATTATGATTGATTTCGCTACCTCGACCAATATTGGTCTGTAATCCCTGGATTGAGATCTGTTGGCCGCAGTTTAATTTAGCTAATTTCCTATAATACCGCAGTGGTTTGGTTCCCACTTCAGAATGACCCCATATTCTTTTTTTCAGTCGCATAGATTTTCCCATCGTATGATAATGTGTGTCGTTCCCTCGTTTTTTAATCAAGTGGTGACTGGCTATTTCTTCTGTTATTTCAGCTGTGAGCTGCCTCGAGATCTTATCTGGGGCATGGGCACAAATACTAGAACATTAGAACTGTAATTCTAGAACCTCAGATTACATGTGAAATTTTTCCAGCTTTGGGTAAAGTGGATTTTAGAGCGGGAGGGGTCTAAATGACCAAAATCTGAACGATCTCTTACTGACGGGACACTAAGGGACAAGGGACGGATCTCGGGCCTAATAGCTGTTTTTTAATGAGAGGCTGGAGTCTGGACCTAGATGGTCAACGTGAGGATAGCATGAGGATTTAGGATGCTCTGCCTGCCTTTCGTGGGGTCTTGTAACCCCGAAAGCTGGTATATCTTATCTAAATTAACCTTGGTTACATCCCGTGCTGTTTCGAATATATAATTAGATTTATAGGTCCAATATCAAGCAAAAAAGTCTGATCTCCGGTACTGATGTTACACTAACATAATCTCCGACGCGAGGATCTCCGAAGTCCGATCTTAAAGTTGGATCTCAGAGCCAAAAAGAGGAACGTAAGCCTTGGTTCCCCTCTTTGAGAGTCAAACAGGAAATTCGGTGTTATAAACTCAAACTCGGATTCGTAGCACAATTGAAAAACCAAAGAACAAAAATCTTAATGAATTTCCCGACATCCTAAAATTAATATCAGGTCGTATTCGATTCAGTGGCCCAAACTCCAGTAGGTTACAAGACTTAAGTTCAAGTCGAGGAACACTTTGATTAAGAATGATCCTTGTCTAGTTGGAGTTTTCGCATATCAAGCAGTAGTTATCTACTAATCACTCCTAAACTGAGCGTTTTAGAGTCGAATATCGAACCCTGCCATTCGGCCAAGTAATCTTAATCTGAAGTTCTAGAATAACAGTTCTAATGTTCTAGTACTAATGTATTGTGTCCTAGATAAGATCTCGAGGCAGCTGTAATAACAAAAGAGCTAGCCAGTAACCACTTGATTAAAAAACGAGGGAATGACACACATTATCATACGATGGGAAAATCTATGCGAACCAAACCACTGTGGTATTACTATTATGGTAAATGAGCAAAATTTAACTGCAGCCAACAGATCTCAATCCAGGGATTACAGACCAATATTGGTCGAGGCAGTGAAGTCAATTATAATTATAAAGTGGGGTACTGGTCAGCGGTCAAGCAACAATCTGGCCCGGATCCAGTGCCGATTTATTTTAGGTCCGGTATTCTTGGTACATATATCATGGTTTCATGGCATGAATAAATAAAAAGTTTGAAGTTGAATTTTGGTCTGGCACGTCACACATTTTACACCTCTGGGACGACTTTCGCAAATGCGAGAGGAATGACCCCGAGGAGGGCTCCATTGGTTTTAGTAGGTTGCATATTTAAATTAAAAAAAAAAAAAAAAAAAAAAAAAAAAAACATTATAATTATAAAGTGGGGTATTGGTCAGTGGTCAAGCAACAATCTGGCCCGGATCCAGTTCCGAGTTATTTTAGGTCCCGTATTCTTAGTACATATCATGGTTTTATGGAATGAATAAATAAAAAGTTGAATTTTGGTCATTACATTTTGGCTAAATTGGTGCCAAGGAAAAATTGTTGGAGTTTTCACAAATCATGTAGTAGTTATTTATTAATGACTCCTAAAGTGAGCGTTTTTGAGTATATTATGATGTGCATGAGTCGGCAATTGCGAACAATTTGCTGTTAGCAACTGACCCATTGACCTTTACTAAAGAAACCGTAATTTTGAAAAATTGCCCTTTCGTAAGACACAAATATGCTGCTGGCCTGGCCCATTAAGAGAGATGCCCAATAAAGTAGATCAATCTCCAATTTTTGTAGGTGTTTCTGGACACAAAGTGAGTCATCTTACATCTTGTGACAAATGTTGTGTTGCTCATGAGTCTTTAAGACCTTTCTAGTTAACAGTCCAATAGCCCATTTGTGAATATTGTCATTCAAGTTCGCTCGGCAAAAATCCGTTTTTCAGCCACATTTCCGAAAATAAGTCTTTTAGGGTATATGTTGCTTTATAAGTTGTATATAAATGTGGCCATTATGTACATTTTAGTGTATCAGAATAGTCTCTACGACCTTCCTAGGCGGAAATGCCAAAAATCACGGAAATTATGAACTGCGTCAAGCCAAAAATCGTTTTTCGGCCATATTTCCGAAACGAAGCATTTTAAGGTATATTTTGCTTCATAAGTTGTATATAAATGTGGCTATTAGGCACATTTTGGTGTATCGGAATAGTCTTTAAGACCTTCCTGGGCTGAAATACAAAAATTCGAGTGACCGTGAAACCCTGAAAAAGGGTGTGGCCGAAAACGCCCTCATTGCATTTATTTCAAAAATGCAATGAAGTCCAAATGTTTTAAGAATCATCTAGAGAGGTGATAACCGTTGAGAAATCGCTTTTAACACGAAAAGCTAACGAGATTCCGTTTCGTCTCAGACTACTTAGACAAATTTAACCTGAAATTGTTAAACTTGAGCTCTGGTGTTCTGGACAATATTCTACCAATCGTTTCTGAAAGAATGCTGAATTCTAATAGAGTTATAGATCTTCAAAATAGGAGCAAGACATGTTTACTTTGTCACATCAGTTATTATTACAGTTAGGTAATCGTCATCACATTAACATATATTTTTTTGTAGTTTGGATTGATTTATTTAGGTAATAAGGCAGCCTATGCTGATTTTTACACACTATCTTGAAATTTTTGGGGCAGGAAAAGTTAATTTTGTCACATTTTTAGTGACTTTGACAAATTTAACCTAAAATTGTTAAACTTGAGCTCTGATGTTCTGGACAATATTCTACCAATTTTTTCTGAAAGAATGTTGAATTCTGATAGAGTTATGGAATATATAGATCTTCAAAATAGGGGCAAGACATGTTTACTTTGTCACATCAGTTATTATAAGAGTTATTATAAGAGACTATTTCATTATGTAATCATTGTTTTTAACCTATTTACGATTTCGTATAATTTTTTGTGACAATGTAAACATCAACTGATCTTAACTTGCATCAACTACATTGTCATCATGTAAAGTTTTCCCGCCTTTCAAACCAAAATCAGATATAAATAATTCGCCCAAAATTTTAAATTCCATATATTGTGACAGAATTAACCTCATTTCCCAATAACCAAGTGCCTGTATTAGCTAACTATTCAAAGCAATATATTTTAGGGCTATGATTGGTACTCCGTACTTTGTAGATCAACCATCAAATAATGAGTAAAAAGGGTTTTGAGGACACCTCACAGTAGAATAGAGGTATGGTATTCTGAGTGTGACAAAGTTACCCAAATATTGCCTTGTAACCGTTCGATCCGTGCCCTTTAACCAATTTTGTATCATAATTGTTAGATTGACCTAATCTACTATGTTTCAGACCAAGGAATGATAATTAGACAACTGCAGTTAACTAAGTCACACAAAATGTGACATTTGAAACATTATAGTGCCTAACAACAATAGATTTTCTTTCTGAGCAGTGCATATGGGAGTATGGGTTACGTGGCTAATGTTCAGAACTTCTAAACGTGCTAGGTTAATAGATGTCAAAATTAAGCCACTATCGTCAAAAACGCTATTATTTTTGTTTACCAATATCCTCAAACTCAAATGAACGTGTCCATATAGGAATACAAGGAACACAAGGAATACAAATTCAAAATCTTAAGTTACAACAGTAACTGTTAAGATAATAACAATATCATAAGATTTAGATTTATAATATTTTTATTTTAATATAATTTACTAAAAAGAAAAAGAAAGATTTTTTAAATAAATATTTTGTTTACAGTCCCCTTGTTAATGCTTGAGCCAGAAAGTCCACATACCGATATAGATAATTTCAGTACTTTGCGCTTTTAACCAGATATATTCAGTTGATTCTAATTTAATTATCATTGAATTGCGGTTAGGTTCTTCCATATTTTTAAAAATTTTATGATTTTGGGCCCACAGGTTTCTTGATTTAATGTCCTCTAAGACTGATGAAATGTTAGCTCTGCACAACCAGTGAAATAATTTCCCTACGATTCAACTGTCGGTGAATTAATGTCACATTTGAAGGCCTATTGCAAGTGCCTTAGGTATAGCACAAAACTCCAGGAGTCCAGGGGCTGGAAGTAAAATTAATGTCAAAATAAGACCCTGAGAGTTTAGGCCGAACTGAAGTTTATTCAGGTTTGTTAATGAGTCAGGCATTGACTCATTGAATTTCGATCTATGCCTTTTCTCTCCAACACTACTCAGTCTAAATTTAGAAAATGTAGCAGACTTCATGTTTACGTGGAATGTTTACTCTCTTTAACACACCACACGAAAGTGTTCACATTCCATTCGAAAGTAGACACGTACGGAAAATAAATTGCGTGAGCCCGTTAGTTTGTGTAGGTTTAGTTGCAGAATCGGGTAACTTTCTGTATGCGAATAATTTTGCAGTTAAAATCAGAATAATTGCGTGATCACACAATTCGCGATATTATGTCAGACCTAAAAGTTCAAATATTGAAATACCGCTCTTGTACAGTTGTCCTTTAAAAGTAAAATACAATTTTTAAGTAAAATAAAATAAGAAAAACGGACCCTGAAAATATATCTACGCTATTATCAATCTACGAAATTCGTCGCATGTCATCAGTCATGTCAAATCTTGATTAGGAGATACCTACCTTGAGATTAGCAAGTTATTATGTTTCTCAACATTTCAGAGTTTTCAGCGCTATAATATTTTCCGGTATGATTGTGGGGGAAGCTATGTCCTATCTTGGTGATTACACAAAAGCAACAGTGTCCGCTGCTAAGATCTTCAAGCTCATCTACAATGTGCCTGCTATTGACGCTAACTCTAGTGATGGTTTGAAGGAGGTATGATTATTTTGTTCTTAATGGTACAATGTTCATAGACTCTCGCCTCTCAGTTAGTATACCAAGCTCAAGTATTAAGTTCTTCATATTTCGTATCAGTAATCAGAGTGTAATATTCTAGTGTATTCTGTCTATGACAGTGGAATTTGTTTGCCTCATTCGTATTTTGCATTTGTTGATTATTCATTACTGATAGCAATTAGGAGGTCTCATTAACGATATTATTTCATATTTGTTGATTCTGGAGCGCGAAAAAGTTAGGCCTAATTTGTATGAAAACTACGCTATCGTTACTACTTTAAACTTTTAAAACTCTCACGCGCGCGCATGTGTTAGCACGTGAATTTAAACTAGCGAACGTAAACATTGGTAAAGTATAAAATGAATGGACGCTAAAACATGATGTGACAGAACTAAGTTTGGTCGGTTAAGAAATTGAAGCGATCATTTCCATCACGACAATGAATTGGACATTGCTAACAGTTACGATATCTATTACTGTCAATTATATTCTCACAATATCGATTCCCCAGTTTGCAGTGGAGGGAAAGCTGAAATTCTCAGATGTGGTGTTCAACTACCCTACCAGACTTAACCATCCTGTATTGCAAGGTTCATTTGCAAAACTCTGTATTTTTACTCACTTCGAGGGATGAGATTTCAAGTATAATATGAAAGTAAAAACTAAAACTGTTGAGTGTTCCAGTGAACAAAACAGTCGAAGATTAGAACCATGATGTTTCAGAATAAAATCTTAAAACAATTATTATAACAGCTGTTGAACTTCTTAGGACTCAGCTTAGAGGCACTCAGAGGACAGACAGTAGCTCTAGTAGGTCAGAGTGGGTGTGGCAAAAGTACAACAATTCAACTTACTGAGAGATTCTACGATTCTCTCGGCGGATCTGTGGTAAGTAGAGAAATGTTTTTTTTAAAACAATCTTTTTGTTTATTCTTCTTGATTTTTTGAATGGTCAATGGTCATCAGTTTGAGATCTTCTTTACTATTGGCATCGTTTTGTAATTTGTTCTTTTTTTTCTCTTTTAGATCACCGTAGTCTAATATAATAGAGTTTTTACATCGGCAGTTAACAGTTTTTCCTTTCAGTTTTTGGACGATAAAGAGTTGAAGCAAATAAATGTATCGTATCTTCGCAAACAAATTGGACTTGTTTCGCAGGAGCCGATTCTATTTGATACTTCGATTGCAGGTACGAATTATGATTTACCAAATTGATCATTTTCAAAGCGATTTCAGATTAGTTCGAAAAATTACCAATAATCGAAACGCATTGAAATGTGACTTATGTATTGAAGTTCAAGATTAAAAAAAGACTAAACCAGAACCATTCAGAGAACATAATGTACGGCGATCTTGATCGTCAGATCAGTGAATCTGAGATTATTGAAGTTGCAAAGTCTGCTAACATTCACGAGTTTGTTGACAATCTTCCAGAGGTTGGCAAGGATTTTAAGAAGGACGTTTTAAGTGATTAAATAGGGTTAAATATACTCATTAAACTTTCAATTCTTATTTAAACTGCTTGCAGCTTTACTACATTTTCTGCTTAAAACATGTAATATTTGATCTAAGTAATTCATCCCGACACTCCCCCCTAGAAATATCAGACACGAGTAGGTGAGAAAGGGGGCCAGTTATCAGGAGGTCAGAAACAGAGGATTGCAATAGCAAGAGCTCTGATCAGGAACCCTAAGATACTTCTGTTAGATGAGGCTACCAGCGCACTCGACACTGAGAGTGAGAAGGTATGATCACCAGACTACTTCTAATATTCGGTCTTAGTTTTCTGAACTTACATTTCGGATTTAGTGAAATGTTTTAAAGTATTGCTGTGAATTCGGTCTTAGTTTTCTGAACTTACATTTCGGATTTAGTGAAATATTTTAAAGTATTGCTGTGAATTCGGTCTTAGTTTTCTGAACTTACATTTCGGATTTAGTGAAATATTTTAAAGTATTGCTGTGAATTCGGTCTTAGTTTTCTGAACTTACATTTCGGATTTAGTGAAATATTTTAAAGTATTGCTGTGAATTCGGTCTTAGTTTTCTGAACTTACATTTCGGATTTAGTGAAATATTTTAAAGTATTGCTGTGAATTCGGTCTTAGTTTTCTGAACTTACATTTCGGATTTAGTGAAATGTTTTAAAGTATTGCTGTGTTAGCCTAGAGATTTGGCTTCTAGCTTTTGAAAAGTAATGAATTAGACTACTAGGTCTCTTGCCATATTCATAGTTTACCAGGTCACCTGTACACTGTACACTATATTTCTGGTAATATAGCCACGATTACTGTCATATATCCTTCACGTGACGTCACACTCCCTAACGTGACGTCACACTCCCTCACGTGACGTCACAATGTTACCCGTCTCGAACTGACTTCGTCTCCCACACTAGATTGTTCAAGAAGCCCTGGATAAAGCTAGGAAAGGAAGGACTTGTCTTGTGATCGCGCACAGACTCTCTACCATACACACTGCTGACATGATATGTGAGTGCTGGCAATTTGGGCTTGATCCTTACATACTTTACATATTATCATGATTAATGGTAACATGCCAAACTTTTCCAGATTCTATTCACAGTAGGTTTCGGGCCTGGATACTGACAAAGTCTGCCAACTCTATAGTCTATATGAATTTTTCTTGTATCACGTTGTGACCCTCATATCATTTCATTTAGTGGGGGCCTAGTATCAGGGCGAAAGTCACGATACAACCGTGCACTTGTGCGCGGCGGGCCTACGACGTGAGGCAAACTTTTTCCTGATTTGGCCATACAATCTATCATTGCATGACCCTACAAATATAACCAATTTCCTTGAAACAGGTGTTATAGATGAAGGTAAAGTAGCAGAACAAGGTACACATCAGGAGTTGATGTTCCGACGGGGAATGTACTATGCGCTCAACTCTCAAAATACCGAGGATGCCGAGAGCTAACATACTTTAAAGAGCTAACATACTTCAAGATTTAGATTAATGAGATATTATTTGCTTGCTGTGCAGTTGGCTGGAGAGACTGGACTGTTGAGGATTGCACTTGTTCTAGAGAGTGTAGAAAAAGAGATTTGAGATGTCTAGGAAAGCAGGAAAATAGACGCAGTTGTCTGTAAGAGATGTAACTTAATGCAACTTAATTTGTATGGTACCTGCAACTTAATTTGTATGGTACCTGTTATAGCAGGTATGTTTTGAGACAGAAGTAACTACCCACACGCAACCTTTTAATAACTCACGTAATTCGTATCAGAATTGTTCAAAAATTTCAGAGAAATTCTAATACGAATTACTTTAGTTATTAAAGGGTTGCGTGTGGGTAGTTACTTCTGGGCCACCCTGTATGATGAATTTTAATGAATTTATCGGAACCAAAAATGTTGGCAATATTTTATTGTATATCTAGTGCAACAGTTCAATACTTATGATAATAATCCAGTTTCAATTAATTTCAATTTTAACTCGACAATTGTTTAATCGTTATTACCACAGAAAGACTGGTTGTATAAATTATAAAATTAAAAGTAGGATTTTATAACGTTGAACTTGTATAGATGTTGAATGGATTATGTTTTTATATACTTGCTGTACAATTTAAAATTGACAATGTACATTTATCATGACTATGAAAAAATATAGTTAGACTATAATGATTCTGGTGTGATGATTTGTCAGTGTTATTAACCACGGTACTAATTATAAGACAGGTGTTAGTTAATGCAAGTACCGGGCAATAATCACCTTTCCCATGTCAATGATATTTAGTACTTTATTTCCTCCAAGAAATTATTAATTTAGAGCTCCTTTTGACTTGGCTAGAACTATACATGGGAGGCCCCGGTTATACAAAGAGAGTCTATCGAGCGCCTTAAAATTTGCTTTTAGGGAAATTCTTCATGCTAATTCGTATTTCATTCTTCATGGTATTGTGAATTTAATCAAGACTTTCAATTTTGTTGGGTTGACACAAATTGATACAACAATGTAGAGCAAGAATATTGATCGACTAATAGTAGTACATTTAATGTACAAAAACCTTATTACTAAAAAATTATCATATAACAATGGAAGTAAGATTTTTGTACTATACTAATTAATTGACACGGGAAAACATCTTCTCATAACCTATTTAATGGAAATATCTTTGTCTCTAAATCTATGATGGTGCAATCACCTTTCAAAGTCTCTAAGCAATGGTGCAGGTGGAATGGAGTATCACAGTGTCTCGACCTTTAACAGGTTGGCCGTCACGAATTGTGGAGGAAGTCTGGTCTGAAAACAATATCTTTTAACTATCGTGTTCAAACAATTTATAACGTAGCCAACTGGAAAACTACTTTAAACTTGCACGTGTAAATATTAATATAAAAGGAAATGTCGAGTCTTACTCTATAATACAACAATTAATTAATTAAAATGGAATATATCTATTATAGCAAGTAACAACACGGTATTAGCAGGAATTTTCGTGGATATGTGACCTGGAAAACGACAACGTAATTTTGTACAATAGATATTAATTGAGAATAAGGAACTACGATAATCAACTACATTTTTATTATTCTTAGATCTAGCATGCTGAGACTAATAAATTAAGACAAAGAACTTACTGGATTATTGCGACTAGCAAGCTTATCAAAACATAACGTGGCCGGTCCAAGTATCTGAACAACCCTATCGACTGTGCTGACCTAAAACTGACTCTTTCTCCTATTGTCATCCCCATGTATCGTCTCCGAACCTCACAGAGTCCTGAGTCTGCTGCTCATTATCGTTAAACTCTGCCGCTCATTATCCATTTTTACGATCCATAGACCACCGTCTGAGACTGTGATTATAGGCTGATCTGCTATCAGGTGTTCTTTTGTGGTGTTCTGATTGGACACCTCCATGGAATGTCATCAACCGTGTCGAATTGTCGCTTCGTTAAACACAAAAATATTTGTTTGTTAATCAAACTTAAGCCTCTTCTCTAATTCAGTTACACTTCTTATATAAATGATCTGCTAAACTTAAAGAGACATATCTTAAACATAAAATCATTCAAGCACAGAATGACTGCAAATTTTCGAGGTTCATTATACTAGATAAATATTAATGAACATCAAAAACTTTTCGGATAGAATCAATAAGTATATTGATGATAATTATTAGACAGAACCCATGATCAAAATTCCCGTAATAATATGGCAACTATAAACATTCTGTTACTTAAATATCACACCAGTCATCGTTAATACATTTTAATAATGTATTTTAATGTAAATTTCCAATTTTCAAGACTACCCAAATTTGCTCACAAAAAAATTAATTTGGTACAATACAGTGAATGTAGTGGTCAGAATATCCACAAATTTGTTCATCTAAAGATAATACCCTAATATGTTATTGTACGCTTTAAGAACCCAAAATTAACATTAAATCATATTGTTCACGTCCACTCCAGTGGTCACAGGTCAGGAATTTATCCGATAGGATGGTGTTGAGAGATGACCATGCTTTTATCTTCCTTGAAATTCCTTGGCGTACCCTGCTGACTGAAAATAAATAGGAATCAAAGTATAGCAGGAATAATAAAATCCAATCCAGTGCAAATATCGGCTACAAGTACAACAATGAACATAATATTGCTATGAAGATAAGGCAATAGCGAAACGTTTCAATGCATACTTCTCTAATATACAATATAGCAACCAACCTCAAATCAGGTATAAAAAAGAAGCATCTAAGGGGTCGTTCACATATTACGTAATCATTTTTTGAAACATTTTTCCCCCCCCCCCCCCCCCTCCGTACTCAGTTTTACAAACAGCTATTATGTCAAAATTACACTAGCGTAATCATTCGGAAACCCCCCCCCCCCCTCAGCTGATTACGTAATATGGAATTAAACTGGAATTAAACTGGAATTAAACTTGAAATTACCAAGGAGAACACTAACGGACTCGTTTTGGCTATACATCAATTCATAAATAAGTTCATATATGAAACAAAAGCCGAATAAAAGTATGAAAATAAAATCTTAAAATTTAACCGCGTTACAATATCACGAAGTGGAAATAAAATCAAATATAATACTATAATTTAAATGCTAATAGAAATTCTGGATGTGTGCATAAAAGCAAGTCCAAGGAGATATGTTAAACTACATAAGGTGATGAGACGTTGAAGGAGATGAGTAGGGGACGTGAAGCGAGGATTAGGACTTAATCATAGGATTTCGAAGGTTTGAAGAGTCTGTTAGGTGGTGATTGCTAGGACTTCATAGGAGGTGATAACTAGGACTTCTTTTCAGGAGGATGTCGAAGGTGAAAGGATTCTGTGAGGTACTTTCCAAATTCAGTAGCATGGAATGAGTTCATGATGGCCCCATATTCTTTGAGCATTATGAGGCTTTTAAGGTTGTCTGAGAGGTTGGACCGGAGGGAGTTGTAGCTGGGGCATTCATTTATAACGTGGTCCTCGGTTTCAAGGATAGGTGTTTCAAAGAATGGTAGTTCTTCGAAGAACCGCATGACGTCGGTGTCTGAGGAGCAGCAAAAGCGACATGTTTTCAGTGCTGTGTTGTAGCGATCTCCAGTGTAGCGACCTTTCTCAATCCTCAGATCGTGACTGCTAGATCGAAGTTTTGCAATGTTAGCTCTTTTGACCCTGCATGGGAGCTGTAAGTACAGTTCTTCACCAAACTCAGCTTTGACCACAGTGTAGAATGAAATTTTAGGCTGGTTGTGAAGATCCTTCTTCCAGTGGTTGACAAATGTTTCGTGTATGTGTTCACGAGCCGCAAGGGTGTGGGGTAGGTGTGGCTTAGCGACAGTGCTCGTCTTGATGATAGTAGACCATGCATCATACCAGGTAAGGTTCAGTTGTTTCTGTTCCTGAAATGTATGGTGCAAGAGGGTGTTCACGTTACCTACAACCGCTTGTGATGCTCTACAGAAGTAGGCAATACATTGAGGGAGGACGGTTACTGTCCAGGGGGTTCTACCTGTATCTCCGTAGCAGAAGTTGTTATTTGCCTTTTTGTGGACACCCAATATCCATTTAAGAATTTTCAAGTGAGTAGTTTCAAGAGCATCTTTTGCTGCTGCTTTGGGAAGACTCGCTTCTTGATTTTTTGAGAGGATGGCTTTCACGATGTTGGTTGATGGCAGCCAAATAGGGCATCCATATGTGGCCACTGGCTTGACTAAGCTATCAATGAGTTTTAGCATCGTGCTAGTGGTAAGGGCTCTCGTGTCAATAGTTCGTCTCAGAGAGAAGAATGAGCGAAGAGCTTTCTTCCTAAGTTCATCGATTGCTTGCTTGAAGGAACCGTTCAGGGAGAACTGGATTCCTAGATAGCAGTATTTTCTGACGGGTGCGATGTCCAAGTTGCCTAGTTTGAAGCCGTAAGCACATTTCAGTATTCGTGAGCTTGTGTTAAAGACCATCACGCTGGTTTTGTTGATATTCACAGACAGCTCCCACTTTTCAGCATAGTCATGCAAGCAATTGAGCAGTTTCTGTAAGCTGCCCGCATCCAGCGCTAAGAGTACCAGGTCATCTGCCCATAGGAGGTGACTTACTTTTACACCGTTTAATAAAGGTACATCCAATTCCTCGATTTGTTCAAGTCTGATCGAGAGCTCGTGGATATAGAGTTTGAAGAGCTCGGGAGACATTAGGTGTCCTTGTTCTGTGCCGATGGTGACGTCAATGGCTGCGGATAGCTTTTGAATCAGCTTGACTCGGGTTGAAGAGTTCTTGTACATGTGGCTGATGCAGTCGAAGAATTTGCCTGTTATGCCCATGTTTCCCAGCTTGAACAGGAGTGCTTCCCTGCATACGCTATCGAAAGCCTTGCGGTAGTCGACAAAGCAGGCAAAAAGTCGCTTCTTCTCTTTCTTGGTGTATTTCTCAATAATGGTATTCAAGGTGAGTAAGTGGTCGTTACATTGGGCTCCCCTCCTGAATCCAAGTTGATACGGTCGGTCCGGACAGGCTGTTTCTCTAAATTCGATCAGCCGTTTAAGGAGAAGGTTCGAGAAGAGTTTGCCGAGACAGCTCCCAATAGTAATAGCCCGATAGTTATCAGGGTTTTGCCGGTCACCCTTTTTATGGAGGGGAGTTGTGATCGAGTTGTTCCAGGGGTAAGTTCCATGCTGGAGGCAGGCATTAAAGAGTTTTACCACGACGAGTTGAAGTGAATATGTGAACGACCCCTAATAGTTATGGATCCTTTATGCCGAGGCAAAGTGAAAATGCTATCCACCTGAAAGCTGTAAGTACTGAAGAAGTATCTCAAATCATAGGGAAACCGAAAAACAAGACAACCCTAGACACTAAAATGTCTGCTCTCAAGTTAGCATCATCAAGTAGTTCCAGATTTAACAGTACACTAGCTCATATATTATCTGCCTCACTCAATGACATGAATGAGGGCATATTTCCTACCCAGCTAAAGCTGGCGCGTGTCGTACCTATGGCTATTCACAAAGGTGGACTCACTTATAGAACTGATGTGGCTAATTTCGCTGTTTCCCTACAGTTCCCTCCGGAACAGTCTGACTCTCAATCCTAGCTCGCTGGTTGGAAACTGGTTTAGGTTAAAGTGTGTGGAGTAGTCTTTAACAGATACTGAAGTTAAGTGGAGCTGTTCAGGACGCCACTGTAGTCGATATGGCCTGCTGTTACGCAGCAAAGCAGCTGTAAAACCAACAGGTACATTTTAGAGTTTGAGAAATGTGATGGTTGAAGAAAGACTGCGCTTTTAAATTAAATGTATAAAACAATTGAAATATATTGTAGCAGATCTTTAGGAAATTAGTGTAAGATTTTGTATAAAGAATAGCAACTGAGGCCGAGGTGTCAAATCATGTCGGTTAAAATTTGATAATATTTAACCGCCCTACCATCTGCCGATTTGATAAATTAATCAACTTGGTGAACAATCG